GTTTTCAGAGGTGACAGATGACAGAATGAGGAGCAATGGTCTTAAGTTACAACAGGGGAGGTCTATGTTGGATATTAGGAAAGGGGTGGGGCACATGCCTGCAGGGCAGTAGAGATCTTAAAACACTGAGCAGAGCCATCCGGGCAGGCAATGTGGGATACTAGCAGAAGCCAGTTCTGTTGACAAACACAACAGCAGAGTTTACACTGGCTCTTTTGTTGACAATAAAGGAAAGGGAAAAGAAAAACATCTCTCCTGGTACTGGAAGTTTTTTGTTGTCGAAACTGGGCACTTTTGGTGACAAAAGTCCCATTGCGGTGTGTACGCTCTCACTGGTTTGTTACCAAGAGACAGGTTTTGATGACAAAACTTTGTAGTGTGAACAAAACTTCAGTCAGTATCTCATGCTACAGAACTTGCATAGATGAGCTGGAATCCTGTCTGTAGGCCGGGGTGGGCAATAATGTTTTGCCAGGGGCCACTTTGGAAATTTTTTAAGTGGCCCCAGGCCACACAGGAAGGGGCAGGGCCAGGCCAATATATTTCCAGGTTCCCCACCCCCAGACAACAGTTTGGTCTGGGGGTAAGGGGAGTGCCTTTGCCCCCCTTCTACATTGCTCCAAGGTGCCCTGGCATGGGAGGAGACTTCTCTCGTTCCCCTGCCCCTAGTTCAATTAGGGTCTGGGGGCGAGGGAGCGCACAAAGCCTCCTCTGCTCTCCTCCCCTCCCCTGCAAGCCGCGTGCGGCACTTCAAAGCGCCACGTGCTCCTGGCAGGGCTGGATCCAGCCCACCCCTGCAAGCGCCATGTGCTCCTGGCAGGGCTGGATCCAGCCCACGGAGACCCTTTTGCCCACACCTGCTGTAGGCCATGTGGGTCACTCTCTGCTCTGTGGTCCTGGTCTTGCTGTACAGACACCACAGAAGGGGTCTCCAGAAAGCTGTGTTCAAACCCTAGTTCTGCTGCTCTTCCTCTGTGACCTTCAGTCAGCCCTGTACGTTGTCCTTCCATTTCCCTATCTTTAAAACCCTACCTTACAAGGACACAGGAGAAATTCATTGTTTGAGGCTCTCAGTTGCTATAGTGTGCTGTGGAATGGAGAGGATGGGGCAGTTCTGTCAGGCAGGGACAGACGCAGACACAGATGTCCCACCCTAGTCTGAGCAGCCTTGGGCTGCGCGTCTGACCCCTGCATCCCTACTAGAACCCGCGCTCCTTCCAGAAAAGGTCAGGCATGAACATTGATGTCACTTCCTCCTCGTGACACAGCCCTCTCCATTCTTCCCTGCACAGAAAGGCAGGAGCTGGGTTTGTAAGAGCGAACCTCCCCACGGGCGCATCGTGCCAGGTTATCTATCGGCCAACCTACAGCACAAATCTCTGCTGCTCATTTTGCTACTATTTTGAGCGCACACGGTGTTTTAACAAGATGGGAACACGTATTCTCGCTGTCACAGCAATGAATAAAGGATGCATAGTAAGCAAGTGGTCCCTTGCAGGGGCATTGGGAATGGGGCTAGGAGGAAACAGGCAGTTTGGTTCATTTGGCACCTCTAATTTGGTCACACAGTGCTACGTTGTTGGATCATTGCCCATATGTAACATGTCAATTGTGGAAGCACCTGGAGGGTCAGGAGGGGGGGTGGGGTGCAAATGACAATAACAATTGTAACCGAGGGTATGGCCTCATGTGAAATACTTTGTGCGTCATTGGTCACCTCTCCTCAGGAAGGATTCCACAGAATTCGGGAGGTGTGAGGTGAAGGAGAGATCAGAGAACAGTTCAAAAAATGGTTAGGAGGCCTGGGAGAACACTCCTAGAAAAAGACATTGAAAAGTTTTGGGTTGTTTTCCTTAGAAAGGAGATAAGAGGGGACTTGATAAAAGCCCAGGGTATACTGAATGGCCTAGAGAAGATTTGGGGATTTTTATTTTCCCTAACACAACAAGGGAGCTGTCAAGGAAATTCTTCTTCTTCATCATCTTCATCATGGCAGATGCCACCTGGCAAATTACATGGCCACCCTGCAAATTGAGTACCACTCTCTTGCAGGAACAACTCCAGTGCAAGAGAAAACATCTGTGAGCTTTCAGCAAGGTTTGCGTAAAACGGAGATTGCCAAAAACATATGGTATTCTGCTCTCTGAAATGGACCCCAGCTCAGAGAATCAGAGCAGGATCCAAGGCCGCTAATATTCATATTCTCAGAGTCCTAGTTTGGCTTCCTCACGATGATTAAAGGCCTGTGATTTGTCATGAAGTGGGCAAGGCCTGGAGACCCACGGAAGCTGTGGCTGGCAACTGCAGGCTGCGGATCTTGGTTTCCTATGTCTGTGCATCCTCCTGCAGCTCCCTCAGTGTTCTTGTGAGAGCCAGGAAGGATGAGCAATAAGGAGCAAGCAGCCTGCTTCAGCGACAGCATTTCTCCTGAGTGCTCTAGTTATGCTCCGAAGCATTCTGAGCGGAGCCGACTGGACCAGAGACTCGGCTTGCATCCCAGATTGACATCGTGTTGACAGCAGCTGGGCAGCCATTTGATTTTTGTGCAGCTGTGCCAGCACACAGGACAAGACTCTTACTCGGGCTGGGTTCTCAGAGACAAGAGCCTGTTCTCTGCCCTTGTTTTCATGTGGGGCTAATACCCCCCCCCCCCAACAGCTCCTCTGCTGAGAAGTGGCAGCAGCCCAGGGCAGCACCTACCATGCCAACATTATGCAACGCTTTGGTGGCTGCCGGCAGCTTAAGAGAAGCTGTCTCTTCGCGCCTGACAAAGAACAGTCGGCCACTCTGCCTGAGCTCCAGACATCTGGGAATGGGGCACATTTGCTCTGGGAAAGAGCAGGGCTGGAAGCCTCTCCTGAGTGCAGCGGGACATGCAGTCTAGGCTCTTGTTGTTACGGGGTGCACACGAGAAAGCTTGTTGGCAAAGCCTGCTCTGTTCTGTCCTCGATGCTCTTGGTTCGCTTTGCCGGCTTGCAGGAGGGCTAGTGGACATGTGCTTTGACTTGACACTGGAAGTCTGTGGTTCGTGGATGTGCTTCTCTTCTTCCCTCAGTACCTAGAACGGAGACAGGACGTTGCAGGGAACAGGGCTCATAACAAATTTGGGCTTGGGGCAACTCCGGAAAGGCTATTTATTTAATATTAAAAAACCCACCATTCTTTCCTCTCACTTGCATGAGAGATCTCAACTCTGCCAGCCAGCAATCCATACGTGTGGCAGGCTCCGGGGAGCACAGCGAAAAGAACTTGGCTGTCCAGGAAGAGGCAGGATTAGTAAGGTGTTTCGTGCCCCACTTTGATTTACCCGGACTTACAGAGTGACATGAATACCCAAAAAGACTTTGCAAGAGCTGAAAATCTGCCTTTCACTTTGTGTCGCTTGAGCATTCCAGTGTCCTAGGAATAAATCCCATTCCAGTGTCCTAGGAATAAATCCCATTCCAGTGTCCTAGGAATAAATCCCATTCCAGTGTCCTAGGAATAAATCCCATTCCAGTGTCCTAGGAATAAATCCCATTCCAGTGTCCTAGGAATAAATCCCATTCCGGTGTCCTAGGAATAAATGGCATATCCCTGGTACTTTGTCCTCAGATCGCAATTGTAGCTACCAGTATTATATCCTGGTAAAAATGAATGAACCGCAGTGCCCTGGAACCAAGGCGTAGGCTCAGTGGTGAGCAACTCAGGAAGGGTAAGACGAGGGTGTTTTGTAGACCTGTTCAGCTAGGAAGGGGCTGGTGTAGGCAGAGCAGGCAGGAGAGGAAGGAGAAGCCAAGCAAGGCGAGGTGCCCGAAGTTACGTTCAGCTAATATGTTCAGTTTGAATTCCAGCTGAGTCAGCATCGTTGCAGCCCCTGCTAAAGAGAGAAGAGCTGCCCCACAGAGCCCAGGGGTCCTGGTTGGGCCATTGCTCCATAGCAGTGAGGGAAGCACAAATATCCAAGTCTGTCTGTCCGGTCGCTCCATGACACTCTCTCAGTTGATTTCCGGCTTCTTTCCTTCCCACAGCTTGTAGGGTCACCATTGAAACGAACGTAAGCTCATTTGTAGAGCACTAAGTCCCTTTTCCACTGCCGTCACATGCTGCTCCTCTGTCTTTTGAGGGACTTTCCTCCAGCAGGGCCGGTAGATCTCTGCTATCCATCTGGTCTGCAGCACCGGTTCCTGGAATATGCCGATGCTGCTGATGCTCTCTCAGATCTTTACTGCTTGTGGTACAGAAGCAACCTGGGCCCTACCCCAGTGTAAATTACTTTGTTTGTTTGTTTGTTTGTTTGTTTGTTTGAACCTCACAGGCACTGTATGGCGAGAACACAGGAACCAAAGTCGAGTATAAGGCTCTATGTGATTATAAAAGCTTGTGTATAAAGTTGAATAGGTTATAAATTCCCAAGTGAGTCCTCCTGGGTTTGGAAAAGGCGTTTTGCACTTGGGCAGTGGCCGCATATCGCTCACGGTCAGGGAATCTGTGACCTTGGGGGTTTTTTAAGCAGAAGCCTATAGAGACAAGGTATTTTTAAAGTCTCTTGTGGGCCCCCACCTTTTGCACTAGGAGTGCCAGAGCGGGGACAAGCCTTAACAGCCACTCCTGCCATGTGTAAATACTCTCGTGACACTGTTGGCTCTTTCCTGTTTCAGTTCTTCCCTCCCCTTCGGACGGTTGCTAAATCCTGCTGCTGCGCCTGTATCCTCTCTGAAACTTTCCCCGTCCCTCCTGCCTCCTGTACCCTGGGCCGTGCATTATTCAGTGCCTCCTTGTCCTTCCGGAGGGCACCCTCACCCCACCATTGCTCTCCTGCTGCCGCTCTGACTTGCTGTCGCTAAAACGTGGCCCCGGCCCCCAACCCTTTCCTTGAATCTGTGGAAAGATTTCTAAACACTGAGGCCCACTTTGCCTGGGGTCTTGGGAAAGGGGGAAGGCTGTTAACGAACAACCGCTCCCTGTGCTTGTGCTGCCAGAGCTTGGCTTGCCCTAACTGTCTGTCTGTCTCTTCGCAGCTTGCCCTCCTGGATTTTATAAGCTGTCCCCCCGCCTCCTGCTCTGCTCTCCTTGTCCCGAGCACAGCTTCACGCAGCAAGAAGCCTCCACCTTCTGCCCGTGCCAGAGGAACTATTCCCGGGCCCCGTCAGACCCACCGTCTGCTGCCTGCACCCGTACGTCTCTCCCAAGCAACCTCCGTGGTTCGGTAAATGGCAGGGAAAGGAAGGAGCCGGCCAGAGCTGCTGCATGTGCATGTGTACTGTCCTTTGGGCTGGCTGGGCCCGTGTCAGCCCAAGGCGTCTCACCAACGCTGGGCAGGCTGCCCCTCCCTCCACCGGCACCCAGGGCTGTTTCCCAGAGCTTTAGCATCATTGTGAATTATGATGTGTATTTCAGTAGCACCACAAGAAGACAGATAGGAAAAGCCAGGCCCTGCCGCAGGGAGCTCACAGTCTGACATGCCGAGGCCTGAAATCTGAGGCTGTAAAGGATTGGGCATCACCCCAGTTACACTGGGGCATATGTGTATAGACCTGATCTAGCAGGGCACTAGATACAGACATTAGAAATGTTTCATAGAAGGGAAACTAAAATGATTAGGGGGTTGGAACAAGTCCCATATGAGGAAAGATTAAAGAGACTGGGACTTTTCAGCTTGGAAAAGAGGCGACTAAGGGGGGATAGGATAGAGGTCTATAAAATCATGAGTGGTGTGGGGAAAGTGAATAAGGAAAAGGTATTTACTTGTTCCCATAATATAAGAACTAGGGGCCACCAAATGAAACTAATGGGCAGCAGGTTTAAAACAAATAAAAGGAAGTTCTTCTTCACACAGCGCATAGTCAACATGTGGAACTCCTTGCCTGAGGACGTTGTGAAGGCTAGGACTATAACAGGGTTTAAGGAGAACTAGATATGTTCATGGAGGTTAAGTCCATAAATGTCTATTAGCCAGGATGGGTAAGGAATGGTGTCCCCGGCCTCTGTTTGTCAGAGGGTGGAGATGGGTGGCAGGAGAGAGATGGCTTGATCATTACCTGTTCAATTCACTCCCTCTGGGACACCTGGCATTGGCCATTGTCACCAGAGAGGGTACGGGGCTGGATGGACCTTTGGTCTGACCTAGTATGGCCATTCTTATGTTCTTATGGCACACATGTTTTAATTAAACGCTCTCTAGTTAATTCAACTTGATTTAATAGATACCATGGTGCTGGGTACTTTGGGACGGCTTCTTGAAAAGGAAGCTGCCTCTGGGGTTTGACTGAGTGAGATGTGCCTTATACTTGGCCTCTATTGCAGAGCTCTAAGCGGTTTCACTGTGTGAAACAAGCAAAGCCAAGTGTCAAGCTTGGAGCAGGGTGGGTAGCTGGCATGTGTAAAGTGTCATCGGGTATCAGACATTCCAGGTGTGTCTGCCCGGCAATAAAGTGTGTCCCCTTAATCTGGGCTGAAATAACAAAGGCACGACATCTTGGCTCTTCTCTCAAGCTAGCAGCTTGTGCTCAATCCGCAGGGCTCCCTAGAGGCGTTCATGTACACTGCTAATGGGAGTTAGAAAAGAAGCTGCTGCCTTTTCACTGCTACGTCAGCCTGAGTTGGCCGGTGCGGATTAGCTAACCTGAGTTAAGAGCTCACCTTTTCCTGCAGCGTAGACGGCAGCGAATCCCATTCTGCAGTGCTCACAACTTGTCTTCAACTGTTGAAGCATCTCAGAGGGGTCGCTGAGTTAGTCTGCAACTTTAAAAACAAGGGGAAGTCTTGTGGCACCTAAGGGTATGTCTACACTCCCCCGCTAGTTCGAACTAGCGGGGTAATGTAGGCATACCGCACTTGCAAATAAAGCCTGGGATTTGAATTTCCCGGGCTTCATTTGCATAAGCGGGAGCTGCCATTTTTAAAACCCCGCTGGTTCAAACCCCGTGCCGCGCGGCTACACGCGGCACGAACTAGGTAGTTCAAACTAGGCTTCCTAGTTCGAACTACCGTTACTCCTCGTGAACTAGGAAGCCTAGTTTGAACTACCTAGTTCGTGCCGCGTGTAGCCGCGCGGCACGGGGTTCGAACCAGCGGGGTTTTAAAAATGGCGGCTCCCCGCTTATGCAAATGAAGCCCGGGAAATTCAAATCCTGGGCTTCATTTGCAAGTGCGGTATGCCTACATTACCCCGCTAGTTCGAACTAGCGGGGTAGTGTAGACATACCCTTCGAGACTAACAAAAATATGTATCTAGTCTCATGAGTGTTTGTGGGCAAAACCCACTTCTTCAGATGATGAGCTGGAGAGGAAGAGCAGAAATCAAGTATTTTATAACAGGAAAAAAAAAAGTACCTGTCAATTGTAAGACCGGACTGGCACTAATGAGACTAATTATATTAGCATTGGTCCTACAATTGACAGGCACCTTTTTTTTTTCAGTTATAAAACACGTGGTTTCTGTTATTCCTTTCCAGCTCATCATCTGAGGAAGTGGGTTTTGCCCACAAACACTCAAGAAACTATACTCATGAGAGCTACAAGTCAAACATGAAGGCGGCTTCTTTTTCTGTGCCACAGGACTACTTGTTGTTTTTAAAATGCTGCTTCAGCATGGCCACTCTCCGTGTCACCTCTGCAGTAGATAGTCCATGTGACTGAGGTTGCGTGACTTCTTGTGTTACTGGAGGGGTATTAGGATTGCCCTACAAATAGGTGCTCTTTGATCCAGCTTGTACTGGTGCCTGCTGTAATTTCTGCTGAATTCTCATGGCGGTGGGGTTATAAATGTGATGGTCTCCCACTGCTGGTGATACCCCAGGGCCTGTGCAGTGATCCCCTCACTCTTCTGTTCACAGGTCCACCGTCTGCACCAAGGAATCTCATCTACAGCCTGAGGCAGTCCACGCTGGTGCTGGAATGGAGCGCGCCAGCCGACTCGGGTGGCCGGAACGACATCACCTACAACCTCCTTTGTGACCGCTGCTCGGTGGCTCTCCGGCGGCAGTGCGAGCAGGGAGGCAGCAGCGTTGGCTTTGTGCCCCAGCAGACGGGACTGGTGGACAGGACCGTTACCCTGGTCAACCTGCTGCCACATGTTAACTACACGATCCGGGTGGCCGCTGTGAATGGGGTCTCTGATTTCAGTGCCTTGTCAAAGCCGCAGTACGCGGAAGTGAACATCTCCACCAGCCTCACAGGTATGTGCTGCTCCTGGCTATGCTTGTTGCTTTGCTCCCCCTTGGTCCCATCCTGTTAGCCTCAGAGACTGGCACTTTGTGAGGGGTAGAAAGAGATTGGTGTAGAAAGCGTCTGCTGCCATCCCTCCACTGAATGACCCCTGCAGGGAGCAGCCTCTGAACCGGCCCCTCAGCAAACTGCCACTCCATGTGCACCATGAATATGGTTCCAATCTTAGCCCTCGGTTGCAAAGCCCACAGCTGCTGGCTTTATCTCCCCATGGTTTCTATGAGCTGCACCCAACTACTGGTGGGATGGCTGGCTACACAAAACCAGGAAATCAACTAGAAACCTGTGCATGGCTCTCTAGGCAGCTGTTCTTTAATACAGGCAACTAGGGAAACCAGCTGTGCCTGCCTTTTTATGGGCTAAGCAAAACGCGTGGGAGCTGCATGGCTGTGTGCAGTGCTGCTCTCTGGTCAGTGAGGTGTGGTATTGTCGAGCAGGTGTGACAGACCCAGACCAGCTGGCTGCCGCACTCAAATGGAGGGAAAGTGTGCTGGGCTCTGGGTAAATAGTTTCCTCTTCCTGGAGTCAAAAGGGCTGAGCCTAATGCAGCATAATCAGGCAGGCACCTGGAGCTGACTGAGAAAGGAGCAGGCTAATCAGGGCACCTGCAACCCATTGAGGCCTGCTGGGGCTCGTTTACAAGGCCTTTCTGGAGGGAGGGCAGAGACCCAAGGTTTGACAGTGAGAAGGTGCAGTGGGTGAGAGCTGAGGGCTGTGAGTAAGGCAGAGTGCTGTGGAGAAGCAGGACAGACTTGCTCAGTTACCAGAAGAAAGGTGCTAGAAGGGGTCATTTGGGGAAGTGGCCCGAGGAAGAAGCTGCCAGACTGGGAGTAGAACAAATCCTGTCTGTTGCGAGGGTCCTGAGTTGGAGCCCGGTGCAGTGGGTGGGCCCCAACCCTCCCCAGGGCAGTAGGTGGGACCCAACCCTCCCCAGGCCACTACAGTCTCCCTGAGAGGGCAGACCAGGACTACGGAAGTGTCTCACCCCAACTGTGGACTAGCCTGTGAGGAGTGCGGCTCAGTAGGCTGTGAGCCTTGCCTCTAGAAGAGGCTTTTGGGGGGTAGTGTCCAGTTCTGGGCACCGCATTTCAAGAAAGATGTGGAGAAATTGGAGAGGGTCCAGAGAAGAGCAACAAGAATGATTAAAGGTCTAGAGAACATGACCTATGAGGGAAGGCTGAAAGAACTGGGTTTGTTTAGTTTAGAAAAGAGAAGATTGAGGGGGGACATGGTAGCAGTTTTCAGGTATCTAAAAGGGTGTCATGAAGAGGAGGGAGAAAACTTTTGTTCATCTTGGCCTCTGGGGATAGAACAAGAAGCAATGGGCTTAAACTGAAGCAAGGGAGGTTTAGGTTGGACATTAGGAAAAATTTCCTAACTGTCGGTGGTCAAACACTGGAATAAATTGCCCAGAGAGGTTGTGGACTCTCCGTCTGTGGAGATATTTAAGAGTAGGTTAGATAAATGTCTATCAGGGATGATCTAGACAGTACTGGGTCCTGCCGTGAGGGCAGGGGACTGGACTCGATGACCTCTCAAGGTCCCTTCCAGTCCTAGTGTTCTATGATTCTATGCCAGAAGAGCAGGATCCGCGGGGCATGGCCAGAGCTCTGCCACACAGGACAGGACAGTGACACAGCCCTAGAATAAAGTTCATTGCCTTGAAGTTCCTCCCATTTTTGTTAACTTTGTTCTCCTGGGAAGGTTTCTGAGCTGCACGGAGCCCCAGGACCCCAGATAGGAACAATCAGATTAGCACTGTGCATTGGCCATCAGGCGAGGGCCACATTCGCCGTTGGGCTAATATGCTCCTCTGGAAGTGAGTGACAATCACAGAGCCCTCAGGGGCTGGGATGCAGGGGTGTGTCTGGGGCAGCTGTTCCTGGAGTGCCAGAAATTCCCTGAGGACAAAGCATGGGGGTGCCACGTTCCTTGGCAGAGCTCTTTGGTTGGCTGACGTCACCTCAGCACGTGTGCAAGACAAGAGCATCTGCCCCTGGAACTGGCGAGTCCAGAACTGCTGCTATTGCGGTGCCCTGTGTGGAGCCTTTGGGGTCTGGGCTGGTGTGAGCCGGGGAAGCAGCAGTTCCTATAATCTCTGGAAGAATTGCTGACCAGTGGCCACTCCCTGAGAGTGCTGGGCCTCCATCGGGGAGACTGGGGGACAGAGTGCACAGGGCTGAATAACGTCACAGTTCCCTGTATCCCAAAATGTGCTGCACGTCCATATTCCTGGCCTAGTCCATTTCCTGGCCCCTTTACCAGGAAGCCAGAGACCCTCTCATCAGTCTCTCAGCTGTCGTGCTCCGTTAGGAATTTGTCAAAGATGGCTGAGCGAGCCTAAGGGGCTTGGGCCCCTCACCTGGTTTTTTGGGAGCGTTGGCTGCCGGGAGACGCGATCCCCGTGTGATTGCTCAAGTGCAGCACGTGCTTGGGCAGCAGACTTTCCCTATGTGAGGATATGGCAATGTCCTCAGGCCTCCCTCCTACACCCCACTGGCCGGATGCTCAGGGTCACGCGGCTACGACAGCACTGATTGCGGCTATCAGCTTTATTGCCATGGCTACCTGCCTCTGCAGCATGAGCCCCCAGCTCTCTTTGTACTGGGGTATTTCAAAGCTACAGGCCACTGGGATATTCACAGTTAGCTCCTGAATTCCCAGGAGCCTGTGAGTCCATTGTGGGATTAAGTTACAGTTTGAATTTATGGATCAAAAAGTGTCCTCAGGGACACACGTTCATGCAACCCAGCCCCAAGAAGCTCCTGAAGAGGGTGAGTTAGCAGCCAGCTACCCCATCAGAATAGGAAAGCATTAGAATAGCTGGGTCCATTGTTTTCCCCAGGCACAATTTCCCATTGCAAATGTCGTCCTCCCTCTTAGGGACTCTCACCTTTAAATTCCGGACTGGTGCAGAACGGAGAAGCCTTTCTGTCTGCCTGCCAGAGCCCTTCCCTAGTGGAAAGTGGCTTGTTCCCCTTTCTCCCAACTCAGCAAGCCCTCTCCACGATTAAACCTCCCCCAGGCAAGCCTGCAACGGCTGGTTGTGCCTTTGTGTCTCCCTTTGGTGGGATTCATTAGCATTGAAAATCCCTTCCCCCGCCACCGGTAATGGAGATGAAAGGTCTCCACAGCCGTCTCCATCGGAATCGGCCAACAATTTAATCTTGAGAGATTAAACTTTGATCTTGTTATGAATAATTTCCCCACCGTTGGATCAACTGTTTTTGCTCGCGTGGCTGCTTTTCAGTAATTCAGTCATTTCTATGACTGTGCTGCCTCGAGGCAATGCCTTAGATCTGTCCTTCGCCCCGGGCATTGTTCTCCAGAGAGACCTCCTCTGGTCAGAGGAGAGTCCTAGCTTGGTAAAAAGCTTTTAGCTCCTGAGAGCATGTTAACCCCCTAGGTCCATGTCAGGCAGTCTGATGGTGTGATCTGGAAGTGGAAAAAGGCAGATTAGCTCCCTGGGAAATTCTGTGGCTTCAGGGGAGCTTGTATGGGGAGCTCTGGCAGGTGAGGGTGTGAGGAAGTGTGTTGGAGCCACTCACAGGTCACATTCTTGCTGCCCCTGGAAAAAGACTCTTTCCTGGCGTGGCAGCAAACAGGCAAAATGCGTTTCCATATTGCTTTGATATCTCCACAGGTGGGGAAGGACAAGAGGGCTGGTTGGCAAGTATCCAGAACCAATGTGTGTTAGACACGGGGCCTAGGTGATCCTGTTGGCTAATGGGGATGATAAAACAGAGAGAGGTTTTCTCTTGAGCAGCAACTCTCAACCTTTCCAGACACGTGTTGCCCTTTCAGGAGTCTGATTTGTCTGGTGTACTCCAAGTTCCACCTCACAGAAAAACAGCCTGCTTGTAAACTTGGACACAAAGTGCAAACGTGTCACAGCACGCTGTCTCTGGACCATTTGCATACTTTCTCCCTTTTACCATATCACTGTAATGTGAATCCATTGGACTATAATATGGCTATGTCTACACTACGAGTTTTCTCAGCCAAAAATATGCTAATGAGGGACTCATTTGCATGAGTCATGATCTCATTTGCATATTTTCTGCCTATCTGTTTTTGCACAAAAACAAGAGGTGTGGGGGTTTTTCTTTTTGTGCAAAAACCCCTTTTTCCGCAAGATCCTTAGCAAAAAGAAAATGTCCACATTGGTTGTTTTTGTGCAAAAACCCCAGCACAAAAACGGATCGGCAGAAAATATGCAAATGAGATTGACTCATGCAAATGAGTCCCTCATTAGCATATTTTTTGCTAAGAAAACTTGTAGTGTAGACGTAGCCATATTCTGATTGCGGTAAGTGTATAGTGGATGGAGCAGTACAAATAAAACATTTTCGTTTGCACTGATTTCGCTGGTACTTTTTATGCTGCCTATTGTAAAACTAGGCAATTGTCTAGATGAGCTGATGGACTTTCTGGAAGACCTCCACGTAGCTCGAGGGGTCTGCCTACCCCTGCTTGAGAATCACTGCTTGAGAGGAGTTCACGCAAAGGTCTCCCATCACAGGGCTATAGGAAGACAAATGCTCTCAAGAGCTGCACCCTGAACTAGAGAGCTGTTAGTAATATTATGGCATGTCTGATGAGGCTAGGACAATGCTAGGACAGTGAGATAGAAGCAAGAGGCCACCCAAGAGATTACTATACACCCCACATGTGCCTATTTAACATGTCCCTTCTCCTTGGTAAATGGGAATCCTGGGAGGGCGTTAGAAACCGCTGAACACATTCTCCCAACGAAACGGAAATGCAAACAAAGAAAGTGGCATCAGCAATCTTGTAAACTGTTCCAAATCAATGTCTCTTGTCAAGCCCGCAGAGATTCCGGATGTAGATGGCAATGCAGAATTAGCTAGCCAGTTGAGATCCCTGCACCACTGCCGCAAGTTTCCTGAAACAGATTAATTTGTGCTGCTGAGCCTGGCTGCTACCTAGG